ATTTTATTTCAAATTAAACCAAGCCGCAGTTGCCTCGTCAAGCGCGCTTTTCTGCGAGGTACAGAGGCTACGAGTGAAGGCCGGTTCAGACACTTGCGTTTGAGTGCGTTTGACTGCGTTGCGTCGAGAACCGAAAGCGAGTCACCGGCACATCTGTGCTTCGTGTGAAGCGTGCAATCCAATTCAAAGAATCATCTTAGCACGCGATATAAGTAGCAGAAATGTCCTGGTTTCTCGCTGCCGCAACGCAGTCAAACCCAGTCAAACGCAACTGTCTGAACCAGGCTTAAGAGTGCGTAGCCAAATTCGATCACGGAGCCTCCGTCAATATTCCCTTTGAAACGGCACCTTTTATCAATGCTATCGCGGAATGAAATTCATGACCTACTGATGTCCAGTACATAGCGAGAACTTCGGTGATTTCTTTTAGAGTCGCTCGTCCGTCGGCGATGAAGTGTGCGAATAGGCTTAGCGTTGAGCAGATCGCAGCGTTGACGCACATTCCAAGCGGCGAACATTTTCACTGTGCACTCCTTCAGCTGCACGGCGATCTGATTCGACCGCCGTAGGTCCCGGAAAGAATTGCCGAGCTGAACACCACGCAATTTCACGCAACACAGAACTTCGAAAACACCATGTCGCCTTTGCTGCGCCAGTCGAGGTAACCGCCATCTTGAAACTGGCGCTCTCGTTGGGACCGAGATCTCTCGAGAACGTCCCGCAGAGCCCGCTAGCCCGCCACGCAAAATCGCCAGCGTTGCGTGCGTACTCAATACGCTAGCTCTTCTATTGCGTTCTACGCACGCGCACTCCCGACCCGCAATTTTATTGCGTACGCAAGGCTTTAGCGTACGATCCACTAAAACTGTCTATTATCTGGTCGATCGCGCGGCAGCGTTCGCCACGCAGCGTGTTCTCACCTAAACAGTATCTTACACCGTGGCCTGAACTATTCTTGCTGCGCACGAGCACGTGCTCAGAGGCGCAGTCAAATTTCGGAGCTTGCCGCTGTTGCTTTTACACTCAAACGACACAGGCGCGTGCCAAATACCCACATTTTTAGCCAGAGATGTATAAGATTATCTGACGCCGCTATCTTCTTACCCGTATCCAGAGTAAGTGAACAATGTTTACCGTGTAACTATTAGGGAGTTTTAGAATAACGTACGCAATTTTAGCGCACGCTAGCGCTAAATTTAGCGCTTGTATTAGCGCACGCGACGCAAGAGTGTTTTAGAATAGCGTTTCTCCGCCGCGACGCAAAAGCCCAAGCATTTCGCGCTTGCGACGCCACCAAGATACAGTCAAATTTTTATTTCACGCACGAAATGATGTAACTCTAAAAGAAAACGAGTTTTTTGGTCCAGAGTAGCATTTTAATTTGTTCAAACATGAGAACACGACGCGAGCGGTTGACCGGTCGTGTCCGCTTGCGTCGCCTCGGCAAGAGAGGTCTCGTGTACTGACCTTCGCGCATCGTTCCTTCGCCGTGAAATGTTCGCGCGTCGCAAGCATCAAGTTGCCGGCGATCGCTGCCAAACCAAGTACAATGTCGTCCCGTGTTGAAAATTGCAGTCGCGATGATGCCGCCGACGTCGCACTCCCGACGCCGCCAAAGCAGCCGCCAACATAATCCTGGAAGCCGCCATTTTTTTTAGCTGTGCTCGTCTTGGCTTTAGCCAACCTCTCATCACGAATCCTCCTTGGAGAAGCGCAAAGACTCTTTGCGTACGCACGCTATTTCCGAGAAATAGCGCGCGCTAAAATTGCGCACGCAAAGCGCAAAACCTGGTTTGCGTTCGGAGCATTCTTTGCCTACGCAAAGCTTTAGCGTGCGCTATTCTAAAACTCCCTATTAACCTGAAGCGCTCGTTGGCTATACTTTGTTTCTCCTTATACTGGATCACACAGGAGCCACCGGATCCAATTCATAGCTCGGAAGGTGCCACGTTTCCTTACTTTTGGGTGGAGCGACGCAGTGTGCGCGAAGTCGCGAGACAAGCTACGAACTACGGTCTTTGCAATTAGTGGAAAGGTGCAAGCAGGGTTGGGCAGAAATACTAAAAAATGTCTTTGGAAATACAAATACTGGGATACATTAAAATAGTAGCTAAAATACTGATACTAAGATACATCTGTAAAAATGTACCGCGATACGTATCGGAAGTACATTTTAAGAAGAGGCGAAAAGTATTTGAAAATACAAATACAGGAATACATTTTAGGGAGGGCAGAAATACAAAGACAGAAATACTTATACTGCAATACATTTTCCAAATTTTTTGAGACGCCAACTGAGATGAAGCTTGAAGTTTGAAGTGGATATTTTCGATCCCGAAATTACTTTCCTGTAGGCTTGGCACTTTGCCTTGAAGGTAGTGGTTTCAGACGACAAGGAGTCTTCAATGGGCCCAAACAAACGTCCCAACAATTGCTGACCGCGGTCCCGTCCATGACATCCTGTCTCTCTGACGAGGGAATACTGTCAACATTGATCACATTATGTCACGGTCGAATGAACTAGAATTCTTTAGCTGTAAGAGTGGCCTTGAACATGAAACTTTACCACGCTGCTGTATGAAAGGGCAATGCGTACTTTCGTTGTAGGCTACCTAGCTGAAGATCGTGCATGCGGTGTCATTTGTAATTTTTGAGAATAGTGGACCACCTGAAGCATCTTGGAATACACGTCTTACCTTCTGTTTTACAGTTTAAAAAACGATACGGTAGCATCCCTGTTCTGAAGGTCCTTATACCGACCCTCCGCCACCGACGCGCGGATTGCAGTCCTCAAGTTTTGCCTAGCATTATCCAAACAGAGACCTCGTGAATTGCGAGCTGATATTGCCGGCACAGGTGCGAGCTGTCCAAGAAACAGCGGTCTCGAGACTAGTCGCAGGAGTACGTAGTCCGGGAGGCACAGCGAAGCCACATCTGGCCTCCTTCTGGGTTTCAGATCACCAGAGCAGCGGGTCACGTTGACGTCGGCTGATGACGTACCCTTGAGCCGTGCAATGTTACGGGCGCAGCCGCAGATGCATTCGAATATGTGTTGAACTTCACAGCGTGAGCCTTCCTACTATTTCAAGTCAACCACCGCCTGGCTCGTGCTGCAACGGAATGTCACTCAGCTTTGCCGGCTGGGTGTACTGTCTACGCTAAGGTGAGAGAGACGGTTAGCAGCGGGCATTGGTTGCCAGGAAACAATGACTCAAGAAATCCCTACCTAAGGACCTGTGGCAGAAGATGCTCTGACTCCACTCCTGGCACGCCACCTGGTTCGAGTCCCCGTCTACGCAACACTTCTCAGAAGAGAGAAGAGGACGTATAGAAAAATAGTTTGTAGAATCAAAAGGAACCTTGGTCAGCGTTGTAACAATACCCCAGCATCTCCTTGACTCTGGTGCCCTGAGAAGTAAAACAAAAAATGCGTTCGACCTTGTTTTTTTTTGTTTTTTTTTTCGGGGGGGGGGGGGGGGCAGTATTTTTCAAGAAATGTAACGAAATACATTTCATCCTGATTGTATCGCGATACAAAGAAACATTCCAAATGTATTTCGATACAGGAATACAGATACTGGTAAAAACAATGTATCGCGATACAGAAATACAGATACGAAATGTATTTCTGAAATACTATCGCGATACATTTGTATCGCGATACTGCCGAACCCTGGGTGCAAGCGAGCTGGACAAGGATGATAGCAATCGGGGTTAGCACAGTTGATAGAGCGCTCCTTGAAATGGAGACGTCCCTGATTCGATACCAGGACCAGGCGGAATTTTTCATTCGCGCACTAGTCACCTAGTTGTGTTTGGAGATTTGTGCTGGTCCTTTGTCCACCTTGTTCTCCTTCTCCAATGATTATTGTAGTCGTACACAAACTATGAATTGGCTCGAGTATCTCGTAGCGTCCATCGCCGTACATCGTAAGGTGAAACGGAGTATAGGTGTTCGGCATTTTGTGAAGCCGAAAAGTGAAGCCTGGATAAAAGCGTGGCCGCGAGGCTCGACACTGATTGGTCTTCGGTGGGGGGGAAGAAGCCATCGCAGTAAGATTGCTTTTGCGCCAGGTGGGAATCTAACCCAGACCCTTTAGATTATTAAGCGAGCGCCTTTCCAGCATGTCACGACACATTACCGTGAGTTGAAGTGCTCTTTGACGAGAAAGCCCTGCGGGGCATCCGCTCTGCGTCCGGTAGATAGCAATTTGACACCCTGTCACACATTTTTAAAGTCCGGGTTAGCGCCGTATCTCTATTCCAGGAATTGCTATCCAGTGTGCACATCGCGACACTGTTAGCGCGAACACGACATCGGCGCATTTTTGCATTGTACTTGTAAATAGTATTATCGAGCACGAAATTTGATCGCTTACATTATAGAACTAAATGAGCTCTTTTTGTAGCAATAATAACTTGGATGACATCCCTTGGTTTCGAAGAGATAACTTGAAAAAACCGGCAATCGCTTGTTCGTGCTAACAGTGTCGCGCTCTGTACATGCCTACCGGTAAGTCAGTCGCTAAAGTAACCGATGAAGAGTGCCGAGAGCGGAGACGCCACATGTTTGACGTGCAACACAATTGCCCAGCGATTTCTTATACATTCTTAATATTCTCATAATATGCCGCCAATATTTATGTAAGTAGGATTTCATTTCAAATACTTTTAACACCTTCAGAAGAGAGATTCTACGTAGCAGCACATTATGCACTGATATCAGATCAGCGGCCGAATCGGGAAGGACCTTGCTGCTGCGTACGCCTTCTGCAGCTATACTTCACACTACCGAATTTGCTCTATTCGGCAAGTACGTTACAATCAGGTCACGTGCAAGCTATGTATTAGCCGCGCTAATCAATCCAAAAAGCAAGATTTCTTCTTTTTTTTTTACATTAGAAGTATACGCAGCAGTCGCTCCGACGGACAAGATGAGACTGGTGCTTTTCTTCTGGCTTGCCTGCGGAGGGTTCTGGAACGGCGGCGCACGGGATACCATGGTGTGAGTTGACCTTCGAGTGCCGGGTATCTCATTCTTTGATCTGAAGCAAGGACAATTCGCCTTGGTATGGAGTCTCGCGTTCGACACCGCACCTGCGAGGAAGTTTTAAGGATATGGAGCTCACAAATAAGTGTCGCTTTTATTCATGGGGGGTCAACATCCTAAACAAGGCTACTATACGCAACTTTCACGGCCAATATGGGGCGCACTAAGTCCTAGGAAAGTGTCTGTCACCTGGACAATCGTCGTATATAACAACAGGACGAGGTTGGGTCCGCGACACGTAATATTTTGCGAAATCGAGCGTTCCAAGTCTTACCTCACACTTACACGCTGAGAAAGGTGTAAGCACAATTTTCTACCACCATCGCACACCTCTCTGCCATCGCTCATAGCTGTGGATAACCGACTGGTACCTCAGCGCCGCTATATGGCACGAAGTCAGCGCGGCATCGGCGATACTAGCGCTGTGCTGTATGTGCAAATAATTGAGTATGCCATCTAAAAAATTTCAACTGTTTTGCAGCCACGCAGCCTCCAATGCGAACGACGAAGACAGTGCTGGCAGCGCGCTGTACCTAACGCCTCTCATTGAGTCTGGACAACTGGAGCACGCCAGGAACCTCAGCCGTGTCGGCTCGCTCGGCCAGGTGGAAGACGTGCCCGGTTACTCCGGCTTCCTCACCGTCGACGCTGAGCTGGGCAGCAACCTCTTCTTCTGGTTCTTCCCATCGAAGGTGGGCAACCTATGATCTCGCTCTCGCAGACTTTTTCTCATGGCTGCTGCCAAAAATATTGGTTGCAACCCTTTCCAGACAGAACCGCGCAGTGCACCCTTCCTGCTCTGGCTCCAGGGAGGTCCCGGATCCACGTCGCTGTTCGGCCTCTTCTCGGAGCACGGACCATATCTAGTGGCCGAAGACGGCACGCCACACCTGCGCGATGTTACGTGGGTCAACAAGTTTTCCGTGCTCTACCTGGATAACCCCGTGGGCGCGGGCTTCAGCTTCACAGAATCGGAGGAAGGCTACGCTCGCAACCTGAATGACACATCCAAGAACTTGTTCGAGGCCCTGCAGCAGTTCTTTACGCTTTTCCCCGAGTACGTCGACAACGACGTCTACGTCGGCGGAGAATCGTATGGAGGTTAGCTTTTTTTTTTCATACTTCATACTTACTACTTTAGGTGTGATGTTACTTCTTTGGGAATCAAGCGTACTTTTTTATGAACACAGATTTTTTTTTATCATCCTAGATCCTTTTCGAAATTCAGTACCATGTGGTGATTGAAATAGCAGTTTACCTTTTACCGTACTCACGGCGGTAATCGCCCTGCAGCCTGCAGTATTTCGCCGGGCACCATCACTTTCGCTAGTCAACAGAAGTCGAAAATGTGTGTTTTTACCTTACTATCGTTTATTGATCTGTTTCGATGGTGACGAATATACAACAGGTAATAACGAAGCACCGACCCTCATTGAAGCCGTGGTTAAAGTTCATACATCAAGGGCTGTAAATCCGATTATGGGACGTCATGAGATTGACTGGACCCGAGTTAGAAATGAACTCTTGTAATCAATTCTCGCGTCACATCGTATGACGTCTCAGATGTGTAGGCCTCGCATCGTCCGCCTCGGAGCATTTTCAACTTGTTCCCTCATCAGTAACCAGAGGACCGCCATTAGTACGACACATGCGCATCTGCCATTCCTCCGATGCTGATAGTGATTAAAGTGGCCAGACTTGAATTTCAGAAGGGGTCTATTGTACAAGAAAACCGTCATGATAAACCGTCACGAAGGGTGTACCATCGTGACGTCACATAACACCGCGATGTCATGTGACAACGTAACGTCGCATCACGGCGTGGCGTCAGATGGCACCATGACGTCGTGTGACGTCACAGCCGTATGACATCATGACATCACGCGACATTACGACAGCACGTACACAGTGACGTCACGGAATCACGTGACGACGTAGTGTCATCTGACCTGTCACTATGTGATATCAAGGTGTCGTGTGACTTTATGGTGTCACGTGATGTCACAGTCTCACCTGACGTCATGTTATTATGCGTCACCGTGACATTGTGCGACGTCAGTCGTGTGACCTCTTGACCTCACGCGACATCACACAAACGCACAGCAAGTGCCCAACTCATTCATAACAGATCACGTACTTCCTAATCATTGTCTGCATGATAAAGATAGTGCTCTTTTTTTTTTCTAATCGTGTCATCGTCAAAAAGTGCGGGCTAAAGCAATTAGACAAACAATTCCGAGCCAAAGTTGCCAGTGCAAAAGGAGAGCTCTTTAAAGAAGCAGAAAGCGTAAAGCCCTATTCCCGAAAAATTGCTGCATTTTCACACCTTCCCAATCCCACTCCCCTGCACTGATCCTCCGACCTCTCGGGGGTCTGTGAGCCGTCCTTCATACTGGCGTGAGTTTGAGGTCCCCGGTCTGGAGAAACTTAAAGCGGCGGTCATACTGCTAATACATCGATCATACGTAAGGCAGTCTAAGCTGCCTGAGGTATGTTCCTTCCTTGTATGACCGCGCGGTGTCACATTGGTAATACAAAAGGGTGTTTGGATGTGCCCGAAGCATACACATGAATAAAGCAAACATGCCTAACATGCTCAAGACGTGTGCGCAGATAATTCCTTCATCGTGTCTGCTGCTAACACTGTGTCTTTTGCACGAAGTACGAGCAATGTGGCTGCGACTTAAAGGGGTACTCCGGCTATTTCTTCGTGGTCCCCGATTTTCCTTAAAATTTGCTAAACACACCAACGAACATCGCTGAAATAGTATCCCAAATATCATGTCAAAATAATTCTTCGAAGTATTTTAGTTAAAATTTTAATCCTCCCCGTGTTTTATTTTGTTTATTTTTTCACACAGAAAGTTTTTATTGGCAACAACCAAAAATTACGCCAGTGGAAGACATAGGTTAACTTTTTGAGCTGTCGATTTTTGTTCCGAACTGATTACAAGCAGTTTCGTGATGCGAAACGAATGCTTTGGAAACTCGCGCCAGTACCAGCGCACTAGCACGGAACAAATGCTAGGCATAGTCTATTTTTTTAGACTACTCACTCGACTGGCAAGCCTGCCTTCCACTGACGTCACGGCACAGAAAAGTGCGGGTATATTTGAATGTTGGTTTTTGCAACATTTTCATGGGCCAATTTCACAGTAACTATTGTGAATTTTGCGTTACTAAACAGCATACCGGAAAAGGGAACGCTGGACATTCAGAAAACATAGTTCATTCGGGCAGCTAAAAAAAATCGTCGGAGTACCTTTTTACCAGAGATTGCAACGCATCTGTCAAAAGCCATAAATTAAGGGGGATCGGTGGCCGGGTGGGCTAGCGAACGCCAGCTCGCAGCACGTAGAGCGAAAGCTCGCGCTGCATAACCCAGGTATCATGGGCTCAATTGCCACCCCTGCCTGTTTCGATCTGGATGAGCATCATACCGGCGTGGGGTCGTGTATCACGACTCTGTAATGCACGTTAATTGAAGACCCCAGGCTAAGTCTTTGTTCTGCACTGGCTAAATTTCTCATCTACAGCTCAGATACCAGACGTTCATTGAGGCTGACTAACTTCCGGCTGTATAAACGTACACACAGCATTATTTCAAGCCACAAAGTCAAAGTCGTGTCTGTTCAGCAAGCTCTCTAATGCCGCATTCACACTGGGTACTCAACCGCCTCCGCAAAGCAGTTGCGAACGCGGTTGCTTAAAAATGCAATACTAATTCATGCGCAGGTAATGATGACAATGAGCTGATCCGCTTCGCAGTTGCGATTCGAACGCCAGTGGGAATGCAGCCTCACAGCCAGACGTTTCCCGCAATATTGAAATATTATAAGTAGTGTCCACGTTAGAGAGCAGATATTTGGTCAATCAGCACAATTGTTAACCTGAGGTCTATTCAATCCCGGACAAGCAAGTAATCAATTACTGTGGGTCCGACTGGTGTTCGCTAAGTGGAAGTAGCCTCTTAGGGTCCGACAAGAGCACCTCGAGATTAACTGTAGGTACTTGCCATCGAGCACTGTCTAAAGGACGCATGGCCTTGGTGTTAAAATAGGAACACGAAGTTTATTGACTCTAAATGAAATAGTTAAAAATCAACCTCCTGGAGGCCTCTGAGGGGCAGCTGATGTTTTGCCACTTTTCTGTAAAACCTCAAATATCTAGCCTCAAGAGACCCAAAAGGTTTATCCCTGAAGAATAGATTTATACAGCCTGATGTATACATCAGTTTAAACAAATACTGACCAGTTTCGTTTCGGTTTTGATTTAAAGTCAAATGTCGAGATATTATGCTCGAAGCAACTGCCAAAGACACCTGCCCAAATGGTAAGCAGTTATCAAGCAAGGCGGTCGTGGGTTTACCGTACAACGGTGGGATTTATTGAAATCTTTGTGTTGTGATGCATTTTTCTTCGGAGAGAGGAACATAGGTCAAAACTCGTTGTCTTTCTTCGCTAGGCGGTCATCGAGGAAGGACTGCCCTTCTTCGATAATCCGCGAGCACTACAACGGTTCTCAAACCAGAAATAATTTAGTTATATCTTAAAAATGACTTTTTGCAGGAAAATATGTTCCTGCTCTCGCCTACACCATCGACACGGCCGTCCAACCACGGGTGAAGATCAACCTCAAGGGAATCTACATTGGAAACGGCTTCATCGATCCCGTCTCGATGATGAACTTCGCCGACTACCTTTACCAGATTGGGCTCGTGGATAAAAGCGGCGCCACATTTATTAGGCAGCAGACGGAAATAATTGTAAAACTAATCGAGGATGGCCGCTACTTGGACGCCTTAAACGTTGTTGACCCTCTTCTGGCGGGTATCTTTACAAAGCCAACCTACTTCAAGAATGTCACCGGAATGGACTTCTACTTCAACTATCTTTACTCCAAACGGCCTAAGAATTACCAATATTTTGACGCTTTTCTCGAGAGTCCAACGACCCGCAAGGCATTACACGTCGGAAACTGTACATTTACGGATACGAGCAAAGTAGTTCAGGAGTATCTTAAGGAAACCTACATGGCATCCGCTAAGCCCTACGTGGAGGCCCTAATTGAAAAGTACAAGGTTATGCTGTATAGTGGCCAGCTAGACATCTCAGTTGCGTACCCGCTCACGGAGAATTTCATCTCCACCCTTCAGTGGTCGGGAGCGAAGGCCTTGACCACAGCGCCGCGACAGATCTGGGCGACCCCCGATGGAGAGGACGTTGCCGGTTACGTAAAGCAGGTCGGCAACTTCACCGAGGTCTTTATCAGGAACGCGGGGCATATGTCACCCCATGACCAGCCCGTGGTCTTGTTGGATATGATGGTCAAATTTGTCGACGGCAAGCCCTTCTCTGGTTTGATCTAATTTCGAGCTACTGACCGTCCCTTGTCTGCTGGGAAAAAAGGTCCCGTGTAGATCCTTGAAGTGTCAGTCTACGTTTCACTGAGAGCTTTAAGCCGAGGTCACCCTGCTCATACATCATATAAAAGACACGGCGTTCACTAAAAACACGATAGCGAGATAATCTGCAGACAGACCTCAATCATCTTCGAATCATGCCTTCCTTCATACATATGTACGTTTCCAACGGGTCTGCAGTAAGGCTTTTGTTTGAGCAATGTGCCGGGATTGTCATAAAAAAAGAAACTCGCCTGGGACAGCATCTCTAGACTGTGTTTTGTAGGATTTATTAGCAATGTGACTTCGGCTTACCTCGGGTACTCTGGCGAATTTATAAAGCTACCCCAACTAACTATATCTTTTTAGAATCATTGTCCTTTACCCTTCCGGTATGCTATTTAGAACCGCTAAATACAAACTAATTGTTAGGAAATCGGGAAGTAAAAATGATGCCACGGCCAACATCATTCAAATCTACCCGTGATTTTCAGTGTGCCGTAACGCCAGGAGAAGGCGGCCTTGTATGTCGAGCTCGGCAGTCTAAAATTTGACTATGCACCGTCTATTTGTTCGTGCTGCTGCGCGGGTTGCTGGAGCGAAGCTTCCAAAGCAATCATTTCAAACGATGAAGATGATCGCAATCAGTTGGGTACAAAGTCTACGGTCCGAAGAGTGAGACCCTGCCTTCCGCTGAGGTCACTTTTCTACTGTTTCGAATAGAAACTTTCATCTTCAAAAGCACGGCGAGCACCCAATCTTGTGAATTCAAGAACTTCGCAAAACAAGTTTTCCCCCAATATTGTGGGTAAATATTTCACCGATGTTTCATGACTTTGTGTGTTTAGCAAATTTTTAGGCAAATCGGGGACACCAAAAAATGCCGGAGTACCTTTCGTGGGTTTCCTTTGTTCACGTTCCTGTGAGCTGCTCTACAATGACCATGTATTGTAGAAGAACTTGGAGTTGGGATAGTTGGAGAATGTTGAAAACCATGGTGTAAGGCGCAAGAAACAACGGACACAAGAGAGAAAACAGGCATACAGGCGCCTGTATGTCTGTTTTCTCTCTTGCGTCCGTTTTTTTTTTTGCGTTTTACTCCATGATTTTCTACAATGACCAGCTGCATTATCTGGAACGGGTGGTGGGTGAAACAGGCACTCGATGAAATTGTTCCTACCCTAATTATAGGAGGTACCCCGACCACAACCAACACGAGCTCCTACATAATAAGGCCGGACGGATGAATTTTGCACGTCATCAGAAGAGGCAAACACAGGGCAATGTCTAGACTCGAGTGCTGCCTCGGCGTTTTCCTGTTTAGATGACGTCAAAAATTCTGCCCTCCGGTCTTGTTTATGTAGGAGGTGTTGCCACAACGGGAGTGATTATTTCCAACATTTTCTTTTAGTGCGCAGCTCTTGCCCGTTTCCAAATTGAGCGGCGTCACCGTCGGCGTAACCGCGCGCGTTGCATTATGAGAATAATGCAACGGAGCGTAACCGCGCGTTGCCGGGGAAAATTTTCCCGCTAAATTTCGTGGGGAAATTTTCGCTGAAGTTCCGGCTGAATTTGGCGGCAAAATGTTTGATAAATTCCTCACTAAATTTAACGGGAAATTTTTCGCTAAACTTCACGCTCAATTTAGCAGGAAATGTTTCGCTAAATTTCCAGCTAAATTGGGTGGGAAAATTTCCGCGATAATTTTAGAGGGGAAATATTGCGAATGTTTGCCCGCAACATTTAGCGATAAGTATAGCAAAAAATGTCCCGCAAAATTTCCCCGCAAATATTAGCGTCAAATTTTTGCGAAATCTAGTGCGAAATTTCGCGCTACTGTCCCGCTAAATGGGAGTGGAGGAGGAGAGGAGAAGAGGAGGTAACGGAAGGGAAGGAGGGGCATACCCTCCCCTCCGTACCCTCCCCTCCTACTTTTCAAGAGCTGCGCTGTAATTTTGCATTACAGAAAATTGTAAACATCTTTCATTCCCTTGTCTAGAAGATCAAATGTGTTATATATACTACCAAAGTACGGAAAATAAAGAAATATTTTAGATCTAACTCGACTCGATCTGATTGAAGTGAATAAAACTGTGCTCAACACGAAAGATGATAGATGTATTGAGAAGGGAGATGGGGAAAGCATGATTAGATGACGAGTGTGAAAAATTGGTCAGATCAAAGTAGCGGTCACGACTGGACTCCAGGGAGCGAAAAAAGCGACGAATTTCGCCCCGCCAGGAAAATGGATGTTGCGCCACGCGCAAAGCAAACGCGCCGCCGGGCAAAGTTCATCAGTTCTTCGACGCATATTCGCTTTTCGGAGTTCAGCCTTTAGTAGGTAGGAATATAAACAGACGGAAGACTGCCTTACTGCAAATTTGGTCTGCCGCGACGCTGAAGACACCCTCGACGGATGCGCTTGAGGCGAGAGCGGTGTTGTAGCGCACAAACACTTTGCGTACCGGTTGGTGGTTGCGCATGTGCTTTGGCGGACGCTTCCGAGTCCTCTAGAAAGCGAGGCGCTTCACTGTTGCGACCCCCTAATGAAAGTGTTCGAGGTGGGGGCAGCGAAAAGCTGAAAAAATCGTCCGTAGTCGGATTCTCCGGAGCGTCTGCTGAGATGGCGGCCGTTGCGCCACCAGAGCTGCGACGACTGAGCTCGTAGGCCAGAGGACGATGAAACCCGTATACAGGAAGCGAGGCACTTTCGACGGCTCGACAGTCAAAATGTCGGTGAGGGCGTTGACATTCCCCATTTTTCCATCTGCTTTTTAGGAATCAAAAACAGTTTCAAATGTTGGTTCAACATAGACGAGTGACACTCGGGAAGACAGAGCGAGCTTTTAGGTAAAAAGACTCAGCTTAATAATTTTAGCTCTTTCGGAAACATATAATTGATTACTTGAAATTGATTACAAAACATAGCTGTTGAAATACAGTGAAGGTTACCGCAGAAAAGGTGTGATTGAAGCGTTAGAACGCTACAATAAAATGTAATTGATTCCAAAAGTAATAAAAAAAATACTTGTAAGTCGTTACGTACAAGTCTGGAAGCTACCCATCACCAGCGAATTTAGATCGGCTCGCCAAGAATGAAGAGGTCAAGGAGAAGTTGCACATTTAGTGAGCCAAAATGGCGACCGTATAGGGGCAGCTTGGCGCAGTAGTGACACACGACCGCACCCCAAATCGAAGCGGACGGGGAAGTTTGGATGTCAATAGAGAATGCGCGAGGCAATGAGACAGGGTGTTGAATGCACGTTCTTTCGCCTTTTATCAACGAGACTGTGTCAGGTCTGATAAATAAAACGTATATGTAAGACAGAAAGCAAATAAAAATATCCAATCTCGCCACAACGCATCTTTAGGTATTTCACGCTCTGCCCTCTGGATGCACACATGGTTGGTACAATTAGTCGGTCCCACTATCCAAGTTTGTCCTCTGAAGGGTCATTTTCCTTGCTTCGGTTTCATCGCAAACCTGGCCGCTCCGCTAGGAGTGTAGGAGAAACAAAGAGCAATGATCCGATTAATCTGGTCGGAAGGTGTGCCAGGGGTGGCGACTGATCGGAGGCACGCAATACGGGGGCAGTGGTTTCTACCACGTAGAAGTGCATGTGAGTGGATCGAGAAGTGCAAAAGTGGCCGGATAACCGTAATGCACGAAGGGGGAGCAGGACGACTGTCAATGCGGGAAGCTGTGCGTAAAAGGTTAAACAATTAACCGAAAACTTTTTTTTTTTTTTTTGGAGGGAATACGCAAGCTTACGGATCGCTAGACCAAGTGCATCGAAAAGGAAGGAGACTCTGTACAACATCTGTGTAAATCTAGTGGAAATAAATGAAGTGGGGATGTTTCTACCCTCGCGCTTTCAACTTCTCTGGATGTAGAGCGCAATAGATTCATCGGTGCTTAAAAAGATATACTGTACTCTAGGATTCGACTATGCTGGTTTGACTTTTGGTTTGCAGAAAAAATCAATATCGTGCTGGTATTTAACCAAAACTTGTTTTTCTACTTGTGACCCGCACTGCACCAATTTCCTGCGTTCCCCGGCTCTTGAAAAAAACCCGTTCTCGACGACCACGCTGATCCATGCTGAAAAACACATCGTTTTATTATTAGACCTCATCGCCTAACCTATAGGTTTGTACTTTGCTGCGAATCGCCCTTCGCGCACACTCACGTACTTCGTGATGTCGAATGCCGGGCCGGTACTGTAGCGCCGGAAGCCAGCCAAATCATCGTCCGTTTTCCCCGCCGTGCTGTTCGCAGTTCGCACTATCGGCATGGGCCAAACGTTCGCCGAATCTGAACTTCCGCAGACTCGGTCCATCACTAATATTTGTATCTGACGATTTAAAAAAAAAAAAAAAATTCGCAGCGACCTTTATCTCGAAACTCCTTTCATGCATTAAAGACTGAATTTAAAGTGCCATCCTTTAAAATTAATTAGAAGACATTTGGGGAGTTTTAGAATAGAGTACGCAAAAGCTTTACGTATATGCAGAGAATAGTGTGGTCGCCATTGCGCATGCACAGAACGCTAACCGCGTTTTGCACTTTGCGAGCGCTAATTTTGCGTATGTTTTTTTTTATATATATATATATATAAATTGCGTGGGTACGCAGCTTTTGCGGTTCTCCAAGGAGGATTCGTGATGCACAAGATGCTGGCTAGAGCCAATACGAGTACAGGTGAAAAAGGGTGGCTCCCAGGACCGCTGCCGCCACGGCTGCGGCCGCTTTGGCGGTCGGGGTGAGCGCGACGTCGGCGGCATTCTGGTGACTGCGACTTTCACTACAAGACGGCATTGCAAGTTACAGGTCGGCCTTTTTTTGTCGTGCTTTTCAAAGGGAAGATTGTGAACAAAAAGAGTCCGAGATAAAAAAAAAATCAAAAGCTTTGAAAAGAAAAAAAAAAACTTTTTCAACAGTCTGATTGGGACACGCGTTTCAAAAAATAAATTTTACGCGAAAAAAAAATATTTTTAGAGCAATATTGTTGGCGAGAAATTTATCTGAAATTCTGAGCGCGAAGTTCATAGCGTCACGGGTCATTCCGGAATGACCATCTCGGTGGTGGAGGCGAAGCCGATCCTTCTCCACGCGCCCGAAAATCCGGGGGAGAAATCAAGTTGAAAGGAGGTGACTGCCGACC